CCTCTGGACATGTCCAAACCACCGTCCCTCCTCTGGACATGTCCAAATCATCTCAGTCTGTCCTCTCTAACTTTATCTCCCTGAATCTGCTGCAGAAGCTAAAACTGAGCTGTTAGAGCCTAAATAAGTAAAACCTTAGCTAAAAGCTTAGGAAGCATAGCTAAAACTAATCAAGAAACAAAAAACACCAAGTTTAAAAAAACAGTTAAAAGGAGCAAAATGATAGCTAAAAAAATAAAAGGAGTAAATCAGAAGCTAAAATTATTCCGCGGAAACTACTAGCTAAAAGTTGCAAAATGCTACCTAATAGATAAACGCCAACTAAAGTTAGCAAAAGGCTAGCTAAAGTTAGCAAAAGGCTAGCTAACAGTGTAAAGTAGCATAAGAAGACAAAAGCAAAGCAAAGTATGCTGAAACATGCAAAAGAAGAGATGTCGACAGCATTTGTACAAATAATAAAAAGATAAAAGGTTTCAACATTTCAACGGTTAGAACGGCACAAAACAGAAATGGTTCCATGTTAAAAACCTGATATGGAGTTCAGAGAATAAAGAGCAACAGGACACCTATCATGTGATCCTGGTCCTGTTCTTGTTATACTTTATATTTTTGCTAGTTTGATGTAACTGGGAGCCTGTGTACATAATTTGGTTCCACCTCATGTACCACATGTGATGAGAATGACCATAAAGAACCTTGATACTGTCCGTGTCTGCTAATCTTTACATCAGAAGTGTAATCCAGTAGATTAAATATGGGGTGGGGATGAAGCGGTGGCAAGGAGGGTACAAAAGGACAGGGCGTCCTTGTAAAAGAGATTAATAATCTCAATGGAATTATTTCCTGGTCAAATAAAGGTTTAAATAAAATCAATAAAAAGGAGGAGACGGTTTCTTCTCACATCCAGTGTCTGGGTACCAAGTGACCCAAAATGACACGGAGCCGTAACAAGAACCGTTCTGATGATGCTGACCACCTTCAGCGTCGACACGTTGACGCACGCCTCACGGTGCGGTGCACATGTTAACATGTTGAGTGAAGGCTGACCCGTGCTCGTTTCAACATGCGTGTGACAAACGACCTGCAGCCTCATACCAACATGGCACCGCACGGCGGGACTCATAACTCCAGTCCAGATGATTACGTCTTGATTACTGCAGCGTGGCCCCGCAACAATGACAAAATGTTGCGTCCCCACGAAGCACATGCACACGCGTGTGTGTGATGACAGGTTATGTAAATTACCCCACATGCGTGTGGAAGTGGGTAAATCCCCTGTGAGCAGGTGCTGCAGAGCCCACAGGGCTGAAACGAGGCGCTCTCGCTGTGATTTATTCAGTGTGGAGACAACGAGACAAATAGTCTGCTGGATAAAGTTCTCTTGTTGTTTTGGACCAAACATCATTTTCAGCTGCTCTGCAGAAAAATTAAAGGAACTATTTACAATTTGAGCCGAAATGAAACAAGAAGAGCTTTTTATGCTTCATGTATTAAAAACACGTTCATTTCCCTTTACAATGTAGACGAGTGAGCGCGTCGACAGGTTAGGATTAAAAACGTCTTTTCTTCTTGTTCTTCCTTCGCTTCTGATTTTTGTCAGTTTATGTTTTATTATTTTTATTATTTGAAACGTTTCCCGTTTCTTCCTTTAATTTCATTTTTATTCCCACACTTTGGTTCGTGTCCCGTTTCCTCTCCTCTTTTCTTTGATGTCGTTCATTTTCTCCGTCTCTTCGGGGCCTTTTTGTATTTTCATTTATTTTCCACTCCTTTCATCTTTTCTTTATTTCCTTCTTACATTCTTCCTTCTTT